TCATATATCAAGGTTTTAACAGCCCCATATCTATGCCATTCCGTTGTGACTTATGGCAGCCCAAGGCGTTGATGGCAGCAATCGGCCCCCTCAGCGTTGGAACCTTATTTCATCACATGCCAACATTTTTGAATGAAAAATAGGTAGATCCTGCGTGCGACGCCAGTCCGCGGCGCCGCTAGGGGGTTCTGGGGCGACATGCCCCCCCAGAAAATTATTCAAAAAATGGGTGCGTAAATGCGTGCCCTTCTCCTGCATTCTGGCGGAGTAATGACTGGCCAATAGAATACATTATGAGCATACGATTACATACATTTATTAGAGATAAATATGAAAAAATGAAAAAAAAAGAAGTTTTTTCAAATTTTTGCAATGCCGGTAGGGTAGAATCATATTAAAAGCTGTAGGCGTAAAGCTCTTCAAAAAGCGGTATATTATTAGTCTACCGCGTAAAAGCCGTCAGGGTTGGCATAGTATGTGTATTGTGATGCTGCCAGTGATTGGTGGCCTTGGCAATGAAAATGCCCAGCGTCGTACAATGTACACACTTCGTTTTCTACTGACTATTTTAATTGTTTACTTCTGCCGCTGCTGAATGTATCTTACAGATCTTAAACATCAACACTGATTAAACTAGAAGGATATGAGTATCTGTTCGTACAGCGCTAGTGAGCAATCATGCTTGCCACTTGGTTTTGTCGAAGAGCTAGACTAGTGCTAGTGACGTAGACTTATGCCTATATACAGAGCAGTTGCCCATGACGATGTCGCAAAAACTATCGTCACGTGGTCGCTGGACGAACATGTGTCCAAATAGTACGCCGCTATTTTTTTTGCGGGTAAAAAGGTACAATGGGGGAAACTATCATATCGTGCGACACATTGAGTACATTTATAGAAATCTAGATAACATAGTCATAGACACCATGTCTTAGCTATAATCTCTCTAAATTTTTGGTTTTTTTGGAAGACGCATTAGTCTAATTAGATTACTACGACCATCTGTCAGCCGTTATCCATACAGCCGCCCGACTTTAAGGCAGCGTGTGATACATTGGAACAACATGGAGTCAAATCCTGAGATGGCGCAACTCTCGTACTATAGGACCCTACTGTAGACATCAGTCGCAGTGCTGATCGGGTCCGGTCAAGATAGAGAACTTGGTCCTCAATATAACCAATGTCATTTACATCAATATAAATATAATTCTATTCAATATATAGGAGGGTTTATGGTTAGGCGGTATGATTACGGGTAGGTTAAGCCACTTCGTTTTATACACCCATGTGCCATTGACATTCTGCGTCTATGTTCTGCCCACTAGTACGCATCTCCGCCTGCGAGGCACCGGTCATGACGAGTAAACTCCCCATATGTGATCTCAATGCTTATCTGCCTTGCATACGCAGGCTCGCCTCACCTTGTATCCAAGAACAGTGCACGTAGCCAGGCGAAAAGAGCACCGATAATGGATGACCGAGTACATGACACACTGAATAATTTAAATTATGGTCAATGCATGCTCTAAAATGTCGTTCTTAAGCCCAATCCCCGATCCGATATTTGAGCGCCCCATTCAACATACGCGCTTAACGCCATTGTTCGCGCATTAACATCGCGCTTTCTGCGGATCAAATCCTCCCGACTTTCGACCTTTCAGGCTAAGCGCTATGCGCGTGTTGAAACTGTCAACGGTGTATTGGGACCCATGTTCTCAATCCATTGAAGCCGTCTTGTTCCGGATATACCGAACTACTCGTACTAAATACTACTATCTAATATGCTCGACCGTACCTCGCCTACTTCCAACTTAACGAGTCTAGGAGTCGCCTACGCCGACCCACTACTCCCTACCCTAACCCTAACCCTAACACTAACCATAACCATATCAAGCTAGATAGTTACCAGGCGTATGTTCCGGTTTACCGACCGCGACCCAGCGGTACGTTCCGCAGTACCCTGGGGACAGAGACCCTATCAGCGAGTAGTAAAGTAGTAACACTGTCACTGTTAAAGTTACAACTGGGCCCACAACATACAAGAAGACGTTAACTTAGTATATATATATATATATATATATATATATATATATATATATGAATAACCCGAACATCTTTTAAAAATGACTTGTTTCCAATTAAAAAATCGGATCGCGTCTCTCTCTCTCTCTCCCTCTCTCTGGGTTCTTAAACATGCACCAACACATTGAAGAAAAAAAGCGTTTTCATTTAAAACAAGTCCTTGTGAACAGAAGTTCAATGCTGCACCGCGTCTCATACAAAATTCTGGATCTGCTACTGCTTTTTAAAGCAAAGGGGATTATATTTTACAATTCCCTACAGGAAAATAAAGAATATATTTCAGTATAAATACATAATTTTGTTCCTATTCTCAATTTTATATTTATTACTATTGTTCCTATTTTTATTCTTATTCATATTCTTATTATATTTTATTAATTATAACATTCTAGAATATAAGTCCACGGGTGTCAACCCGTTCCTGCTGAGCGGTTGCACCATGTGATTATTGACAGCTGATGTCAGACTCATTACATATTATAATAATATCTGAGATTAAAACAAAGATTACAGAGAATTGCGTAGATGACACAGCAATAAACACACAGCGTGTGTGTATTTATTATAATACTTGTCTTATATTTTACTCATCTAGTTATAATGATGGGCCTACTATAGTCGTATACGTTGTATTACATAATGCAATGATGGCTTTAGCAACTATAGAAATAATATGGATAATAATATTGATCAGACTTCATAAAATTCGATGACTAGGGTTTGTGACACAACTTTAGACTCATAAAGTGTCTGGCTTACACATTCACATAAACACGAAGATATAGATAATTGGATCTTGGAGTAATCATTGATCATCAGAATCATTGAAATTCATTCATTCATTCATTCATTCATTGAAATCAGAATCATTGAATCATTAATCATCAGAATCATTGATCATCAGAATGATTACTTAAAGATTGGATGGACCAATTAATGGCTAGATGGAGAGATGGACGGATGGAGTGGAAAAAAATAGATAAACAGAAACAATTAGGTGGAGGAAATGTTGTTCTACTGTCTGAAACTCGAGAATTTCGTACAGCCATTTTCCATAATGTCAACTATTTCAGTGATCGTAATGTTTTAGTTACGGAAGCAGTTTACACGTGAATGCTATTAAACATTTGCACCTTTCAAGGCAAGTAATGGTTGCAATGGCTCCAGACACACACACACACACACACACACACACACAGTTATAGGTGGATGATACTTATTTATCTCAAGAGGTTAAAATGAGTTAAGCCAATGAGAGATAAACTACTGAATATTATGACTATATCACTCTTCCCACTTCCTCACTAGCTCACAATATGGTCATAATGCTATGATAATTCTACAAACCATACTGCAAGCCTCCATTACAACGACGCAAAATTACACACACGCTAGCTCCACTTCATAAAATTTGGCTTACAAGCACTCTAAGTACATCTGTTCGACAGACATCGTATGAACGTCTGAACCAAATATGGCCCCACAATGAAATGCGAGTGAAATGTGATGCAATGATAACATTTATAATGCACAATGTCTGCCTGAAATGAGAATACAATGCCAATGAAATGCTGTATTGCTCACACTGCAATGTGACAATGTCACTGATAAATTAATTTTAAAAAAGACATACGAGAATGAGACAAATATGTATGGCATAATTCCCATTCCCATTCTAACTCTGGAACACCAGATACTGACATTCAGTAGTATTCTCTACTGGGTCGACTTGCAGTTTGTAATGACAAGCCTTTAGAAACCCAGAGTCACCAATTATACATTAAGTACGAGGCATGGCCACATCTAAATGAGAGAAATCGTCACCTATGCTGCAACCTCAACATCAAATCTCTCGCAAAAAAAATTCTAGGAAAGAGTGAAATGCATACGGCAGCCAAACAATTGACAAGCGATCTACACAGATGCGCGGGAAATGGATGAACTCTGTAAGGCATGCTCACAGTAATAAAGTTTGCTACTCGAGTGTCAATCACATGTATACACTGGACACTCGGATGTTACTTCACGTTTTAAAACATGAAGGGCGGCGTATCTACGAGGTGGACTCGAGGTGTCATGAGGCTCTCCACGTCTGGTGGATCTTGTCTAAATGTTGCGCGGCTGCATCGCTGATGTTCAATGCCGGATTCATCTTTCCCAGACCTTCCTCTCCCAGCAGAGAAAGACCGCATATCCCAAAGTAAGCGTGGAGAGCGTCTAAACGAAAAAAAGTAGTAATACTAAGAAGCATTCAAATACCCTTACACATGTAACCAGGAATTCATGATAGATATCCACTATATGCTACCGTTGTATCGTGAGTTGATAAATATGTTACATTTACCCTACCATTGGATGGTTTTTTCGCCACTAGATGGCGCCACATACTGTATATGTACCTTCTGGCTCTTCATGAACACGTTTCCATGGTACATATTATCCAGAGTGCTGGACCATCACAAGGAATTGGATTCATTACTACCGGTATTTATTTAACTATCAGAATGTTATATTTTTTGCTAATTACTGCATGCTTCCTGCTTCTATTTTGTTGTGAATTTTCCTAGATTACCTGGATGGTGATCTGGCCATTTTGCGAACCCTCCGGTCACAGTGTCTTGAGTGCTGAGCACAAAGGTGCGGTTGGCATGTTGGTTAATGAGATCATATGCGTCTAACAGCTGAAAAAATGAAAAAAAGATACGAGACGTGAAGCAACTGATGCAAACACAAAGAAAATAGATGCCAAAAACACGAGAAGAGAGATATTACTTCATACTAGGGAGACAATTGTCATCGTATAATAATTGGAAAAGCGGCAACCTCGGATACCTTTAACGTTGCTCCAACCCAGAACGAGTAGCACGTGTCGGTGGGTTTGTTCGGACGCCCTTGAAAGCCCGTCTGCTGTCTCAGCAAGCACCATTCACGAATCCTGTCCAGTTCTACTCTCGAGAAAGTCATGTGCAGTCTATCCATGAGCACCAGCGAAGCAATTGCACAAAACGTTGAACCACCTGGCAGTAGACAAATTCATCCCTGTGACATTTATCCTAATGGGTAATAAATTTTTAAATTATAACATTAACTATTCACGCATGTTGTTTGGTCACTGTCTCCGTGGCAGAGACGTGCATTAAACTATACGAATGAAGTATAGATGCTTAAATGACTCACCGTGAGATTCCAGTCCCGGTCCTTGTCCTATGCCACCATCATAGGACTGCGAAAAACCAGCGATGAAATTAATAACTTTTTACATATATACAAACACCAATATTGTCAAGTTATATACATATATATATATATCTAGAGCGAGAGAGAGAGAGAGAAAGACTGAGAGAAAGAGAGAGACTGAGAGAAAGAGAGAGACTGAAAGAAAGATAGAGAGAGAGAGGGAGAGAGAGAGTGAAAGAGAGAGGATGCGGGATAGAGCGAGAGAGAGTGAAAGAGAGAGCGAGCGAGAGACAGACAAATGCACAGACAGACAGACAGATAGGTACAACAAAAGGAATCCAAAATTCTTTGAGGAAGGAGAAAGTCCTTGCTGTGGTACATACCTGGCTTCGGTAGATATAGTGTGCAGCCCTGTCAACGTCAAACCCTGTCCAGTCGTCCAGCACATAACAGATAGACGACGCGCAGTAAACGAACCTCATGTCATTCTCGCTGCCCTCCAGTGTGGCCTTAAAACTGCACAAAATCGGTAGTCGCGTATTAACGTTACAAACTTTCAGGATACCGTCATCTGTGCACGACAAGGCATAAAAAGCGCAAAGTTTTCGTGTGTGACTTTGCGTAAGAAAGTCGCAACGATTGTGGTGTGGCGTGGTGCTCAGCAATATTTGATCACATATACACCACGCCGCACGCACGCACGCATGCACGCACACACACATGCAGACGCACAGATGTAACAAGAGCAGCATACGGAGCGGACTCACTGTCACATTAGTCAGTGGGCAGACGTGGCAACGGGAACATTTTAGGTAAATCGATGCATCGAGGTAGTCACCTGCCGTCTTCCAGCTGCAAAGCTCGGAGGCCGGCCGACAATGCTCTCCTGTTCACACGCGTCAGCTCGTCGCCCAGGATGATGAGGCAGAGCAGACCGGTGTACGTCTGCGCGATGTGACCCGAGTCGTAGGCGATCGCCGCCTCACAGCTCGTCTGCAATGCGAGACGTATGGCTAATATGTGGCCAGCATGGACATGCATATGACTACTCGTGCGACGCAGGCCACGTACCGTGGGCCTGTAGGGTTCTCACTATGAATTCAAAACCATATTCAAGCACTTTTCAAACACTATTCAAGCACCTGGACCTACGTCACACGTAAAAGTAGAGGTGAGGGGGGAGCCCCGACCGGGCTGCCCGGGGCCTGCTGTCGGAAACATTGTAGATTGTCACGATATCGTGAGTCTAAAATGCAATAACTTTTGAAACGAGGTGTCGTGGAAAAGCCGTGACATTTTAGATTCGTGATGTCATAACTATTTGTTATGTTTCTGACAACAGACCGCTGGGCTTTTGTGGGCTAGTATCGCTAAAGCTGGGTTTACACTGCCAACTTTGAATTGGCGAATTGCCGAATTAGAATATCTTCTAATCTCCCAACTAGCTGCTATCGATCGGTTAGACATGCAACTTTTGCGTTTACACTGCCGATTGTCAGTTTGCGAAATTGGTACAATTCGGCAATTCGCCAACACAAAGTTGGCAGTGTAAACCCAGCCTAAGCTGAAGACAATAAGTCTTGTTTGATGGTATATCTGCTAGCGTCTGCCTTAGAGTGACCCATCTCTACGACACACAAGAAACACACATACCTGCGTTGGGTTGAATTTAGCACCTATTGTCGCAGATCCTCTAAAGCCACAATTTGATAGGTTGGAAGCTGTAAAAATAATAAATATCAATATTATAAAAAAAAATAATTGTTTGGTGAAACAGTTACTGAGTTAGTTCATTTTATTCATTTGTAACATGTTAACATTTTACATATACCAAGGGCTTTACCTCGCAAATTGTTATCATATGTTATGATGTATAGACTAATTAAGTTGCAATCACAATAAGAACTACCTGATTCATTGGGAAGAACTTGGTGTGAATATATCCAATCAACAATCTCTTCTTTTTTATTCTTTATTGTGTCAAGGCTGTTTAAAATTTCCATTCCAGATATTGCAAAAAACAATATAGTTAACCTGTCAACATATGAATGTAATACATTAATGTTTCAGGTTTACATTCATGTTCAGCATAGATCTATACCTCCAGTTAAACTAATAACGGATTACAAGGATTACACTTGAATTTTAAAAACTATTAGTCTAGTACTAGAATATTAGAAGTATATTCTGTATTCAACATTACTAACAACTATTCATCATGTACACATGATAAAAATATACATACACGTATACTATTGTGTGCGTGTGTGCATGCGTGCGTGTGAATCAACATATATAAGAAAACGATATGATAACGTATTTCAGAGATTTGTTTCATGAATGTCGTCCCATGAATATATTGTTACACCTCTCCATATTATAATTATCTCTTTTTACATCCGTTTCACAGAACAGACTAGCATCATGCATGCATCTTGTCTGTTAAGAATTATTCTAGTACAGTATTTGCTATGGACACACATGCTTGGGCTGCTCCAATATTTTCTATGATGGTACTATGAGTTCTATTCATTAGGTTCTAATCCATATATCTCCTATTATGTCTACTTAGATGCTGTTCAAATGCTCCACTACAACAGACAATGCCACTGCACACGTGCCACTGTGCACAAATACACAATAGATAGGAGCATGTGGGTAACTAACTGTAAATGCTAAAAATCGCCGATTTGCACAATAACAGGACAAATACTGAAGCTACATCTTAGTATCGATCATGTTCTTGTTCGAGTAACGTGTTTTACACTGCCTATATTAAACAGAATTTTGCGCGACTTCTCTGGGAAAATGAGGATGTTGCCAAAAGAACTCATAAAAAACCCTATGAAAGATGAGAAAGATAGTCTATCTGAGAAAACTAGTGGTACTCCCTATCATGTTGAGTATTGCCTAGAGGTGCAAATCCACTTTAGGCACCTTAGGTATCACGAAGTGATGCACAGATTTCTGTGTATCATCAACTGATGCACAGATTTCTGTGTATCATCAACTGATGCACAGACTTTCCGTATATCAAGGAATGATGCAAAAACTCTAACCCTAACCCTAACACACTTCGTGATACCTAAGGTTATACGGTACTTTATGACTTAGGGTTAGGGTTAGGAGTTTTGCATCATTCCTTGATATACGGAAAGTCTGTGCATCAGTTGATGATATACAGAAATCTGTGCATCACTTCGTGATACCTAAGGTGCCTAAAGTGGATTTGCGCCTTGCCTAGATACAGTAACGTAACCCAACACAAGAGTAGGGCTACAACGGCTATATGTATCATTTTTGTGTGAAGCCTACTCTTCGTGTGTTGGGTTATTGTATCTAAATATTATGTAGTTGCAACTAAGCGAGTGGTGTACATTTTTTGGTTTTCACGCTTTTCCACATGCACCAGTCCCTTCTGTACAAACCCACCAGTCTAAATTCGTTAAATCATGTACCAGTACGGCAGTAGGTAGCCCGACCAGGCTGAGCGACGGATTGTCTATACAGCCTGACACCCTTCCATACAAAAAACCTATCACCTCTGCAGATCTAGATGAATAACTCTGTATATCTCAAATAAAACTATTCCATTACCACCTTTGACTTGCCTTGTTTAAAATATGAACGTTAACTCACAGTTGTCCTGCTTCTAAACTAGAATGTATCTCTTAATTCACGGTATAATCTGCTAATTCTCACAGCATATCAACTTTCAAATCAGCTTTAACCGCCATGTTTAGCAAGGCACGGAAAACCCGAAACGGAAAAGACTCGCTAGAAAATACTACAGAAATAGTACGATGGCTCTCACGGCAATTACACACCAACGCAAGTGAAACGATGTTCACAAATGTCTGGGCCATTTGTAAAAACCTTAGATGACATGTTCTCGGGTGTTGGGGTGGTTTACATGAGGACCGCAGATAGTTTAATTTCGCTTGTTCGATCAATTGCGGATTTTAGTCACAGTCGGAATGATAGCAAACATGGCGGCGAATTCATAAATGTTGTTGCATTCGTCTCAAAAAGTCGCTGTAACCCCGTAAGTACCCAGCGCATCGTAGCGCACTGATGGTTACAAGAAGGTGGACGTTTACTGATTCATTTGGTATATCACATGTGTGGTGTTCTTTGGCGATACTTGGAACATAAGGCAACTACGTGTTTAGCTGCAGCCACGGTTTGAAACGGTATCATAACCCTAGCGATACCGTTTCTTGGAGCTAGGCAGTAGGCAGTACAATTCACAGCCCCTGTGACTGTGAGTCTGACTCTAACCAAACTGTTCAGGCTCGTACTTATGAGAATCAACCCCGTTACACACCTGTTAGTATCCATTGTAGAATACTGATGAGGCAAAACGTCAATGCATCGATTAAAAAATTTAATGTGCTTCTCCCTTAGAAACTCATCTTCAGTGGGGGCCGCCATTTCCGCTATCGTGCCGCCATCTATCGGCAGTATGAGTTAACTCGGTGTACGGTAGTTTTTGAAAGCGGTAATTTTTATTGTAATTCATAAATGAAAGACATTTTTAGAAGCTCAATTTTGTGCAGTACAGCCAACACAAGAAATTCAAACATACGAAGCACAGCCCTTAACCTTGAGCAGTATATTTTTCTGGCATTCTTACAACCCCATTCAGAACGATACATATGACGTCACTGTAAGCGTGTGACTGCACTCACACAGATAGTTCATGAAAAAAACGGTGATTTTTCGGATAAACTTAATAGATCGATGTTTTGTTAGTTGTAAGTTTGTAGTTAGAAAGCATATTATCTAGTCATCGTATAGTCAGTCAAATGAGGAAGCCAGCGGCTCAGGGAAATAACCAAACACAATTCGTAATCTTATCCGTCTACGCATATATTTATTATAAATTATGTAACGCGAAAAACATCAATAAATACACATACTATGTGACAGTCGCTCAACGTATAAATAACCATTCCAATCTCTCTCATTATAAACTCATCAACAATCGTACGTATCACCATATTCAGCCTACCGCGTCTGTGCGTGGAAATGGGCGCGTGTATAAATAGATATCAGGAGTTAATAAAGACAAAGGAGTTTGACACGTATTTCACTACATTTTGTCGTACGAGTTAGTTTTTTGTCTTTATTAACTCCTGATAGATATGGGGCTAGAATGGCATAGATATATAAATAACCCGAACATCTTTTAAAAATTACTTGTTTCCAATTAAAAAATCGGATCGCGTCTCTCTCTCTCTCTCCTTCTCTCTGGGTTCTTAAACATGCACCAACACATTGAAGAAAAAAAGCGTTTTCATTTAAAACAAGTCCTTGTGAACAGAAGTTCAATGCTGTACCGCGTCTCATACAAAATTCTGGATCTGCTACTGCTTTTTAAAGCAA